GTAAGCATACGATAACAGGTAGCAGTACTGAACATTTAATATTTTTAATCGAGACGCCCCCAACACCAAAGACCGAGAGACGCCGTGGAAGACCTGAGACAAAGAACAAGAAAAATCCATTATGTATAGATTCCGTTTAGAGACCTACAATTAAATACCTCTCGGGGGTGTAGAACTGGGCTTCACACTGCTGGTATTGCTACTATACTACTGCTCTAGCCGCTGCTGCTGCTACTGCTACTACCATTACTACTATTCCTACTACTACTACCACTACTACTGCTGCTGCTACCACCACCACCACCACTACTACTACTACTACTACTACTACTACTGACCCGTGAAGATCCGGGGTAGAATAGGTCTTCAGCATCCTATGCTTGTCGTAAGAGGCGACTAACGGGATCGGGTGGTCAGGCTCGATGACTTGGTTGATGCATGTCATCGATCCCATCAATCACTGGATTGTCTGGTGAAGACCCGATTATTTACAGACCGCCGTCATATAGCCCAAATATTGCTGAGAGCGGAGTTAAACAACAAACAAACTGCTACTACTAGTACTGCTACTGTAAATCACCTTTCAGATTGGTTTAAGTGATCAACTGTCTCAATGTTGTGTTTCTACTGCTAAAATGTTGCTAAATCACATGCTATCCCCCAAAACATTCTACAACACTGCACCAACCCTACCTCATGCACTGATCTGACAGGTCACAGATCGTCAACATTGACTGAGTGAGTGGGTTTAACGCCGCTTTTAACATTATTCCAGTTATATCGCGGCGTGTCAGCTTAATGTGGGAGGAAAGCCCGAAGTGATGCAGGTCTCAGACGTTTACCACTTCGGTGAAACCCACGAGCACGGGTATGGTGCTGACAAACCTAGAAACATAATCGGGACGAACCGGGATTCGAACCCACAATCATAGGTTTCTGGGGTGCCAACATTGACCACAATTCATTTGCAATAAACACATAGCGAGCTGAATGAGACCCTGCGCTGTGGAATGATGATATTCTTCTATGGGTGCAACATAAAAAGAGAAAAGAGTTATCTGGTCATGCCCTACTTTATATGAAATTAATCATTAAGCAATCTGTCATATCGTAGCTAAGTGTTTCGTATATATTAAAAAGTATTTTATCTTGCATCTTTTTTTAATTTTTTTATTGATCTTCTTTCGTACCGCCGTGTGGAGTGGTTTAGTCTTTAGCAAATTGTGTTATGTGTACTTGGTTTGTATATATGTAAGGTGAGACTTGAGTCAATTATCTGTCTCTGTCTATATTTTTGTCGAGACTTTATTTATGTAAGTGTCGACATGATGGTGATACAGACGTGTAGTTGGTTACGTGTAATCGAATACATGGCCTACATGTTATCTGGCGAAGAAACTATCACTGTCATTTCAACCCCGAAATTGACACGACTTTGATAAAGGCCTGGTGTGTCTATCCCTGTATCGTGATGAAATCGACAAGTGTACATCTGTGATTTGACACCGACCGTGTGTCTTTGCTCACTCTGAATACACAGGTAAACTACCCCTTGTCGTGTCAACAGATATTGACAAGGTTAATACAGTAATGGGTCACGTGACCGTATAAGCCGACCAGAGCACCTGATTAGCGCCGAGGAACTTGCAACTTGCGTATCAGTTGCAGGCCTGTCACTCTGGGTGATCGTGAGATTTGTTTGTTTGTTGTTTAACGCCGAACTCATAGCTATATTCCAACTATATGACAACTGTCTGTAAATAATCGAGTCTTAACCAGACAATCCAGTGATTGTTAACATGAGCATCGATCCAAGCAATGGGGATTGCACCAACCAAGTCAGCGAGTCTGACCACCCGATCCCGTTAGTCGCCTCTTACGACAAGCATAGTCACTTCCTATGGCAAGCATGGGTTGCTGAAGACCTATGTTCCCCCGGGTCTTCACGGGTCGTGATCGCGAGAATGAGTATGTGTAGGAGTGAGTGAGGGACAGAGGGTAGGTGAGATGTGGTGAAATGGGATTTAACGTCGCGTTTAAGATTTTGTACTTATATAGCACGTGCAAGCACGTGTGTGTGTCTTTGTGGCTGCTTGTGCTAGCCCACTAAGATACATAACACGAGTACCCCACTCAGACACAGTATACTGACCCCGAGCCGACCAGTGCTTGTTTTAGCCCTTGAATGCTTAGCGCCAGGCAGGGTAGGAATCTTTTAACGTCTTTTGGTAGGACGCGACCGGGGATCGAACCCCGACCTTCAGTTCTCCGGGCGCACGCTGTACCACTAGGCCACGGAGGTGGCCCAGAGAGTATGAGTGAATGAGAGAGTTGGAGAGGGAGGGAGTAGGAGGGAGAGAGAGAGAAAGAGAGAGTAGGAGAGTGAGAGAGTTCTTGAGGGAGAGGATAGGGGTGTGAGAGAGTGAAGGAGTGTGAAAGAGAGCGCGCGAGATTTAGTGAAGGAGAGAGAATGAGTGTGAGAGAAAGAAGGACAGTGAGCGAAAATGAGTAAAGAAAGGACAATAAGAGCGTGAAGGAGAGAGAAAGAGAGTGAGCGAGAGTGAGTGAGTGAGGAAAGGACTAGAAGAGCGAGTGAGAGAGAAGGAGAGTGGGGTAGTGAACGAGGAAGTGAGCGAGTGGAAGCATGTAGACAATTCATAGATAAGTTAAGACGCTCCTCTAGGTCGGGTTCAGCTCGGAGCATCTCAGCCCTGATGATCTTGCACCGCTCGGGATTTACTTGTTCAACTAAACCCTCGAAAAAAAAGTTTTAACCCTCGAGTTTTAACTGTAACTTCTAAAATCGTTTTTACAAATCAATTACGAAATGCCGGGAGAGTAACTGTTTAACGGAGTTACCTGGCTACTGTAGTGTAATTTATTACCGAAGCGTGACTAGGCATTTTGTGTGTTGTAGATACGATCTAGGAACAGCACTTGGCCGCCTGTCACGGCTGACACGAGTTAGCTCCCTTCAACCCTACCTAATGGCTTAACACGATCGCGAACTTTAATAACTTAATTACTTATCAATAACCTTTTCACCTTTATTTGAAAAAAATGATTATGCCTACACAAGAAATACGGTTTAAATTTTCCCTTCACTTTATGTCCAAAAGTGGGCATTTCACCAATATTCCAGTTGCCTTCAAAACATTTATCAAACTTCATAATAAGTTGAACTGTGGTATTGGTGTGATGTGTGTATTGACAAGTGTGTTTAATCTCGTCCCAGTAAGCAATAATTGATGAGTTTTCATCACATGATTAATAACTCAAAATCACCTGAGGGTGGTGTGACTCATGGCAAATCACTGTCCAAAAATTCGAACTGTTTATAAGTGTCTACCAACTGGAAATCCCCATCCAAGTTTAGTACGAGCGGGGATTCTATAAGCTTGACCTTCTTGGTCTCGTCCTGAATCATGGAATCTCGTGAGACTTCGGAGGATGTTTACGTACTACGTAATCAATGTCCTACCCCCCCCCCCCGCAAGTGTTCACGGATTTAAACCGTGCTATGTTAAAGGGGCACTGCGTCGCTTGTGACAAGTATTGAATTAGGATCAGATATGTTCAACGGTAGCTATTGGATGGACCTTGTGCCTTTCCTTGACGATTTATAAACATTCATGTTGCATCTACAGGTATAGGTTATGTATATATAGGAACATGATTCACGCTTCTTGTAGCCCGCAGTCAAATGTGGTTCTATATATAGGAACCCCAATGCTATAATTACTGCTTGTTCATAGACGTCGATATTGAGGTTCTACTTACTTGAAGCGTGTATAACGGAGAATAATGATAAATAAATACATTTTAATTCCGAAATTATATCTTTACTTGATCGGATGATGAACTGCTATATTCAGGGGTGATCGTCTACACGCCGCGACATGATTTGTGGACGTGATGCTACCAGTTAAAGGCTCATCATCTGTGATTATAATTTATTCTATCTAAATAGACATCCCAGATAGTTAGGCGGACGCCATGTTGTGTCCATTACGTAACCTCTGACGTACAGTCACGCCATAAGGACATGTCTGAAATACTTGCAAGTCAACGACCACCTTTAACTAATTCTATCCGGGCAGGGCGCGTTGTATTGGGTTTCTTCAATAATAAGGCAGTTAATTTTGCGATGTTAAGTACACACTAAAGCACTTGTTTAGAGAGTTTTGGTGAGAAGAAATGAAGATATTACACAACAACAACAATACTAATAATAATAATAATAATATAAATGATAAATGATAATATAAATCATTATCATCATCATCAAAATCATCATATAATCCGTCAAATAGTCGCATTGCCTTACAGCAGTTTTGTAAATAGAGTAGTTCAACCTTTGTACTTCTCTCCGGCTGCATTTAAATGCACAGCGCATGTTTTGTTGCATAGTCTCCAAACGGTGCTATGGGCGTCTTGCTACGTATATTAATCTCTGACGTCATCACTGCACGGAGGTACAGGCCTTTTGTGCTCTCGTTCGGGGGGACCTATGGTATATCACTGTAATGAAGTTTAACACAGATTACTCCACAGACAATGCATGCACACAAGATGTAAAGGCACTCGGCTAGTACATGCATACATATCTTGCATGCACTGAATGCATGCACCCTGTCTGGCCCGGATAACTGAAGTTCTCTCGCCCGGGTGAGATAGCATGTCCAGGGACCTTTCGCTAATGAACGACCGCCTTTAAATGAGTCACTTTCCGGGTTGATCTGAGTGCATGGGACACGTTGTCTTCACGACATCACAACACAGCAGCCTTGTTGGCTTCGACTATGTGGTCATAGGAGGTCTTGCTAAGAGGTCACTGGAGATCACGAAGTGGTGGACTCTTGCCATGATGTCATGGATGATCGTGAGGTTACTGGAGATCTTGACGGCTCTTGTTTGGATGTTCATGGGGGATCTTGAAGGGGAGGGGTTTTGCTCGGAGGTCACGGAAGATCTTGAAGGGGTTGGGTCTTGCTCGGGGGTCACCGAAGATCTTGAAAGGGGTGGGCTTTTGCTCGGAGGTCACGGAAGATCTTGAAGGGGTGGGGTTTTGCTCGGAGATTACGGAAGATCTTGAAGGGGTGGGGTTTTGCTCGGAGGTCACGGGAGATCTTGAAGGGGTGGGGTTTTGCTCGGAGGTCATAGGGGATCTTGAAGGGGTGGGGTTTTGCTCGGAGATTACGGAAGATCTTGAAGGGGTGGGCTTTTGCTCGGAGGTCACGGGAGATCTTGAAGGAGCGGGCTTTTGCTCGGAGGTCACGGAAGATCTTGAAGGGGCGGGCTTTTGCTCGGAGGTCATAGGGGATCTTGAAGGGGTGGGCTTTTGCTCGGAGGTCATAGGGGATCTTGAAGGGGTGGGGTTTTGCTCGGAGGTCACGGAAGATCTTGAAGGGGTGGGGTTTTGCTCGGAGGTCACGGAAGATCTTGAAGGGGTGGGGTTTTGCTCGGAGGTCATAGGGGATCTTGAAGGGGCGGGCTTTTGCTCGGAGGTTACGGAAGATCTTGAAGGGGCGGACTTTTGCTCGGAGGTCACGGAAGATCTTGAAGGGATGGGGTTTTGCTCGGAGGTCATAGGGGATCTTGAAGGGGCGGACTTTTGCTCGGAGGTCACGGAAGATCTTGAAGGGGCGGGCTTTTGCTCGGAGGTCATAGGGGATCTTGAAGGGGTGGGCTTTTGCTCGGAGGTCACGGGATTAGATTACTTGAGTAAATGCAATGAAATCATGCCCTACAGTGCTCATGAAAACATAATTTGCTATGTACAATTTGTGAGAAGTAGGGTATTTGTGGCAGCAGCAGGGCACTAACTAGTTGGGAAAGAACCGCTATCAGTATACTCTTTGATATAGTTATCTAAATGATATGTTTTAGCGGTATATAGAAGGATGCGTCATATGCTTACTGGACGGCTAATATTGACAATAGCGTTGGTAGCAATGTGAGCACAAAATAAAGTTACAATCGTTATTACAGAGCCTTTGTAATAATTGTAATTTACATTTATCTATGTAGCCATTCATTGACCACATTCCAACGTGAGAAATAAACGAATCTGTCGGATATATTTTACCAAACCCTTGTATATGGCGAGCAAAGTACATTCTACCATTTCAAGCTCTTTTCCGTATAGATTTGTTTCAGTCAACCTGGTGTGTCATGACGTCACGAAATTCAGTCAGATATCCACACAGCAACGAATGAATTTTTTTTGACACTTCGGACATATTTCGAACAAATCCAGCTGTTTGAAATTGGGGCAAAAGTCCCAAGCCCACTTATTTTGTTATCTTAGACTATTATATTGATAACATTTTTTTCAGACTCGATCGCTGATAGACAAGGCCCCGCCAGTTATTTGCTGTAAAACAGTACTGACCTCTAGACTTGCAGACCGCCTCCGTGGTCTAGTGGTAGAGCGTCCCCGGTCGCGTCATACAAAAAGACGTTAAAAGATACTTGTTGTTACCCTGTCTAGCGCTCGGCATTAAGGGGCTAAAACAATGACTGGTCGGCTCGGAGTCAGTATACTGTGTCTGACTTGGATATTCATGTTATCCATGCAATCTATCCATTGTTTGATAAAAATAACATTTATCCTCTCCTAATCCTATCGAGTGGGCATTTAACAAATCTTTGTTTGTTTGTATTCACCGCAACCGCAAAACTTTACCTGCTTGTATTCACCGCGATCATCTATCTCTCTGATCCTTTGATGACTACATCTAATGGACACGCTACAAATCTCAAATACCTTACTCTGTGTAACGTGTACCGTGTACCGTGTCCACAGTCGGCCTCTTGTGTGCAAGGGTGCTCGAAATAGAGCGTTCACTGCCACAATACGTTCTGTAGGTATTTGTCACTGCAGGTATTAGTCACTTCGGGTATTAGTCACGAAGCTGTTACGAGACCTCACATCTCAACGCCATTTATCAGCATCACCAACAATGGAAATATTCATCCACCTCAAAGAGAGAAGTGACGAAGATGTGTCGAGCCTCTTTGCCGCATATATTACCCAATTAAAAGAGTTAAAAACACTTTGTGATGTTTACACTGTACATTTGAATATGTAAGAATATAACAGGACCAGATCTAACGGCAACGGGAAGAGATACGTCGCAGGGAAGCGGTACAACGCCACATCAAGCAGAAACCTTTAGTACTATTGTGAAGAAGAAGTTTGTTTTTAAGAATACGTGCTCCGTTCCAAATGTTATATATTGCCCGTTATTGAACCTCCGACCGTCTCCCCGGTCTAGTGGTAGAGCGTCCGCCCGGAAAGCGAGATCCGGGGTTCGATCCCCGGCCGCGTCATACCAAAAGACGTTGAACGATGGTACTTGTTGTTACCCTGTCTGGGGCTCGGCATTAAGGGGCTAAAACAAGGACTGGTCGGCTCGGAGTCAGCATAATGTGTCTGAGTGGGGTATTCATGTTTAACTGCGGCATGGTATCTCAGTGAACTAGCACTATAAATCGGCATCAGTACAAGCAGCCTAGTACAAGCAACCACACACACGTCGCTATAGAATGCAAAATCTTGGACGCGACCTTAAACCCCTTTTCACCTCTACTCACTACTGAACCTCCAACCTCAAAGCACATCTACCACAGGCACTGTAGGTTGACGGTTTGTTTGTGTTATCATAAACTATAGAAACTGAACAAAGCCATCTCAATTAATTAAATTGAAGAGTGTGTGTACAAACGTGTTGATCTGATCCGCATTCTGTGTCCCCGGAACTTAACACATATAGACATGTGTGAAGGTGTTAGTATAATGTGTCAAATATGATCGGACTTCAAGCATACCAATTGACATAATTGTGAAGGTTTTTCAAAGCATACGGTCCTGTACTGGATTTACAGTGAGGTGTCACCACTGACGTCATCACCGCCGACGTCATCACCACCGACGTCATCACCACCGACATCACCACCACCGACATCATCACCACCGACATCATCACCACCGACGTCATCACACCGACCTCACCAACACCGACATCACCACCACCGACATCATCACCACCGACGTCATCACCACCGACGTCATCACAGCCGACATCACCACCACCGACATCATCACCACCGACATCATCACCATCGACATCATCACCACCGTCATCATCACCACCGACGTCATCACCACCGACATCACCACCGACATCACCACCACCGACATCATCACCACCGACATCATCACCACCGACATCATCACCACCGACATCATCACCACCGACATCATCACCACCGACATCAGCATCACCGACATCAGTACCACCGACATCAGCACCACCGACATCAGTACCACCGACATCATCACCACAGACATCATCACCACCGACGTCATCACCACCGACATCACCACCGACATCACCACCACCGACATCATCACCATCGACATCATCACCACCGTCATCATCACCACCGACGTCATCACCACCGACATCATCACCACCGACATCATCACCACCGACATCATCACCACCGACATCAGCATCACCGACATCAGTACCACCGACATCAGCACCACCGACATCAGTACCACCGACATCATCACCACCGACATCATCACCACCGACGTCATCACCACCGACATCACCACCGACATCACCACCACCGACATCATCACCACCGACATCATCACCACCGACATCAGCATCACCGACATCAGTACCACCGACATCAGTACCACCGACATCAGTACCACCGACATCAGCACCACAGACATCATCACCACCGACATCATCACCACAGACATCATCACTATCGACGTCATCACCACCGACATCACCATCATCATCACCACGCAGCAGCAACAATTAACATCAGTAACAGTCTAACAACTGTTGTAAATCTAGACCATATGGTATCCCCTCGCTCACTGAAACCTGTATAAACCGACATTATATGCCCATAAAATAAACAAATAAGATACGCGATAAAGTTAAAACACATATTGTGTTCCTTATTGCAGATCCAATCATTTGCCCCAAGGGCACAGTGACACGTCATTTAATACTAACACCCTCCTACAGAGGTAGATTGTCTTTTTATCCCACAGCGACACCCTCACATAAACGAATAAGCCAGTTTCTGTCATGTTGGTGATACAATAAACGCCGAACGAGGTATGTACTGTTATCTTTGGAACCTGTTAAATAAAAAATTCTTATCACTGGTGCAGAATACACCTACCGACACAGTCTGATGTCGATGGGCCATAGTTTTGGCGAGAAGAAATTCTCTGGGCTCGTCTGCACAAACCGACCTTAGCGCCAGAACTGTAACCATACTGTGAAATAGATTTACGAAAGTTGTACCCTTATTTCTATCAACTCACGAGGGCCCGTGCTGTGATTTTATCGTAAACAATAAATTGACCAAGAAAATCGCGAACAAAACAGTTATTTTTCAGACTGTCGAACGAAAAGACATTGTCTGCCACAAAAAAACTTAGATTGTCACCACTATTGGGTTTATTTGTTTGTTCGTTTGTTTCTTTGTTTTTTAACGCCGCACTCAGCAATATTCCAGCTATATGACAGCGGTCTGTAAATATTCGAGTCTGGACCAGACAATCCAGTGATTGACATCATGAGCATCGATCTACGCAATTGGAATACGCTGGCATGCAACAACCAAGTCAGCGAGCCTGACCACCCAATCCCGTTAGTCGCCTCTTACGACAAGCATGGGTTGCTGAAGACCCATTCTGTCACCACTATTGGGGCCAGTGGGTGAAGAGAAGGCGGCTATTGAGGCGAGTAGATATAGAGAGGAAGACGACTAGGTGAGTAGATATAGAGAGGAAGACTTCTAGGGGAGTGGATGTAGAGAGGAAGACTACTAGGTGAGTGGATGTAGAGAAGAAGACTTCTAGGGGAGTTGATATAGAGAGGAAGACTACTGGGGGAGTGGATATAGAGAGGAAGACTACTGGGGGAGTGGGTGTAGAGAGGAAGACTACTAGGGGAGTGAATATAGAGAGGAAGACTACTAGGGGAGTGGATGTAAAGAGGAAGACTTCTAGGGGAGTGGATATACAGAGGAAGACTTCTAGGGGAGTGGATGTAAAGAGGAAGACTTCTAGGGGAGTGGATATAGAGAGGAAGACTTCTAGGGGAGTGGATATAGAGAGGAAGACTACTGGGGGAGTGGATGTAGAGAGGAAGACTACTAGGGGAGTGGATGTAGAGAGGAAGACGACTAGGGGAGCGGATATAGAGAGGAAGACTTCTAGGGGAGTGGATGTAGAGAGGAAGACTACTAGGGGAGTGGATGTAGAGAGGAAGACTTCTAGGGGAGTGGATATAGAGAGGAAGACTACTAGGGGAGTGGGTGTAGAGAGGGCGCGGGGTGCTAGAGATTACAAATACTTACTGTTACGTTAATTACCCATGATTTGACCGACATTCACTTACGTTATGTTTTAGTAAATGTCGTCTTGCCATATACTTCATATACTGTGTGTCACGCACCTGCGAAACACTCGACACTCAAACAAAATTTATGATCGTGCGTTCAGAATGTGTTTACTTCTAATTTGGACGTTGACATAGTTTGATCTTGTCTACTTGTATCGAGTTCAGCCATTGGCTTCAGCACCACTTCCTGCTCCATCGACAACTGCCTGGTCGGTCTTCTCCGTACTCACGGGTGTGCCGGACACCAATCAATCACCGGCGTCCGTAGCAACAGGAGGGCGCCTGCTCTCGTGTTACGTAACATGATACATATATATAGACACACATCGCGATAAAGCAAACCAAGACAGGTAACCATGAGTGGGTAACCCGTGCCAGTTACAACTGTCAGATATAATTGTAATTGCGTCTCACTTTTTCGATAACGAACTGATAAATTGAAAAAAATAACTACATACAAAACCATAAACTGGGCTATTGCCTTTCTGTCTGTATGTCAGTTGAGAAAAGATGTCTTTTTATTTCATTTTCGCATATTGTTTCTGTAAAAAAAATTATCTGATTCACTCCACGTATTAAATTTAAAAAGACTGTATACCTTTAATCATTGCCCCATTTTCCGACCCCCGTGGCCCGATCACCCCATCAATATCCGGTGTCATTACATATACCTAGATACAACCTGATATCATTCGGATATATGATCATTTGCTCAATCATCTAATGTCAATATTCGAGTATGCGTATTGTATACACAGCCCGTGCCTAACCTAGCTGTAACAGTTTCATTTTTGTTCTCTTTAAATCAGCCGGTTTTAATATCCCCCGACACAAACCTAATACAATTTGTTCCTTTATTTCATGGTTTAATTTTCGAAATTGTTGCTACATTTACATATCCTATACACATTTGTTCAGATATATTAAATGATATTATTATTAAATAATATTCAGGAAAAAATGGCAAATATGCAGACCTCGCTTTCGAAATCTTGCTTGCACCCCAAGGACCAAGTTGTCCCACCTTCCTTAGGTTTGGTACCTCCCAATCTGTTGACTGACATTGGACCCGGGAAGATCCGGGGTAGAATTGATCTTCAGCAACCCATCCTTGCCGTAAAAGGGGGGCGACTAACGGGATCGGGTGGTCAGGCTCGCTGACTTGGTAGAGGTATGTCATAGATCCCAATTGCGTGGATCGATGCTCATGATATCAATCACTGGATTGTCTGGTCCAGACTTGATTATTTACAGACCGCCGTCATATAGCTGGAATATTGCTGAGTGCGGCGTAAAACAACAAACCAACCAACCGACACTGGGAGAGTGTCCGGGTTTACTACCAGGAATACAGCCCTTCTGACAATCTGGGTAATGCAGAAGGCTGCAGTGTTGGGGAGTCTTCACATTCTCCGAAAAGTTCTGGGTGGGTTTGACTAGGCAGCGCTTCCTGGGAGAGTCCCATTCGCTGTCTGGGCTGCGTGTAGAGGGGGCAAGGGCCCTGAGCTGATGATGAGCCTAACCAGCCTGACTGTGCCAGGATCACCCAAACCCTCTTTGCTGCATTTTGTATTTCAAAATGTAAATTATAAGAATGATAATTGCACATATATATCGCATCTTTCACACGAACTAAGCTGACTTTGTCAAGTGAAACCATTTCGCTAAATGGAACCACATGAATATTATGGATAGGTATGTATCTGTGTTCGCGGAACGACCAAGAGACTCGCTGCGAAAAATAGGAATACTACTTGACCTGCATAAATGAAGCTATCCAGATAACGACACAATTGGGGATTTCCCCGGAAGAAATAACTTTCCTTTCAACTCTCGTGCTGATAAAACGTTATATACCCAGGATGCGACGAGGTGTAGATATCAAATACCCTTTGAAATGTACCTTCCCGTGATGAATGAGCTGCGACAGAACTGAAATAGACACGTGTCATTACAGATTGGGGGGGATTTATGCGTGTTTTATTAAAGCGAGCTATTGCGTTGAGGGGTAGTCATATTAGATACCCACAGATAGACATAGCTCTTTGATTGTGTCGTCGATCGTATGTTTAGGCTTCTAACAAAGTAAAAGTGTTCGTATCCATTACTACCCACGGCTTATTTGGAAACTCATGGCAACAGACACTAATCTTTTTGTTTATTTATAATATCCAACAATAGGAATTAAAGACACATCAGAATCTTAATGTGGTAGTTATTGTGAAAATAGATATTTTTTTCTTTGATTGTGTCTTGTTTAATCAGTAAGAGACATTGTACTAATACCCCATTCATAAGCACAACGTTTACTAACGTAAGTAATTTTACCTGTGTATATGTAAATTTACTATGCGTTCACATGAAAAGCATATTAGGTGTATAAAGAAAGTATGTAAATTGTGTAAGGCACACATATTCGTCAGTCTGTCCACGACTTTCACCACAAAACAGGATGTTTTTCAATAAAGTTGAATGAGAAAAGAGTTACTTCACCGAAACTTTTCGCGTGAAGCAACATGTGTTTGATTTGTTTTAATTTGTTCACAAAGTTTGACTCCTTGAAACCAAAAGAAAACGCCGTCCGCTCAACTCTGTATATACGCAAACAAGTTGGCAACTGTTGACAATTTGTTTGGTGTTGGCAAAAGAACAAATATTAATTAGATTATCCTCTTACGTTGACATAAACTTTCACATTGTAACATATACACAAAGTGCAAATTTGTTCCAGACATGATGCAAATTTGCTCCTGGTGTAAATATACACACATTGCTAAACGCGTTCACATGACAAGTATACTCACGTATGTATTTCTACACCCGCATGCACATATACACACCTCTGTATAGAGGCGCATGTGAACGGGGTATTAGAAACATAAGCAGTATAGCCGAAAATACACCAGCTGATATCAGTTTGATATTCAGTGGAAATGAAAGATAACATAAAAATTATTTATATGCGTCATACAAAGAGATTAATGTAAACTATATTTTTCTCAGAGTCCACTTATCTTTCCTATTCTTTTCTTTCCTTCTGTTCCGTTCACGTTTAGTACAAGCTGTAAATAAATTGTGTAAATATCTGGGAGAAGGCGTCATAAGTTGGAGAACTTGTACCCAATCCCATTCACTTTTTGTGCATAAGATATGTTTAAATCAAATGTATCAAATCAAGTCAGGTTTCTCCACACAAAGAGGCTGTTTTCCGATGATGCCTAAATTTAGGTGCAAAGATGCAGCCTTTCAAACCCGAAATTATTATTATTAATATCCCATTTGTCACGTTCAATCGAATTGCAAATGATGTCAACATATTTACCCATCCTTACATTATTCATCTCACCACACCAGTAACATATACAGTTGAGCTGCCATCCACCTTTAAACCCGTGACGTATTTAATGATACATTGATTGCACTGGATATATGATCTGCATTACAAACAAACCTCTCGAGTCTGTAAAGTGTGTGTGTTCTCCCGGCTCTGCTACCCTCGTTGTTTACGACTGGTATATGTACCGTTAGTTTGCAATAATTAGAGGCGACGAGGAATTATAATTATATGTCTCGAGTGAGTTAATTTTGTCTGTGACCGCCTCCGTGGTCTTGTGGTAGAGCGTCCGCCCGGAGAGCGGAAGGTCCAGGGTTCGATCCCGGGCCGCGTCATACAAAAAGACGTTAAAAGATTGAACTTGTTGTTACCCTGTCTGGCGCTCGGCATTAAGGGGCTAAAACAATGACTGGTCGGCTCGGAGTCAGTATACTGTGTCTGAGTGGGGTATTCATGTTAAACTGCGGCATGGTATCTCAGTGAGCTAGCACTATAAATCGGCATCAGTCCGGACTAGTACAAGCAGCCACACACACACATACACGTGCATGCACGTCGCTATATAAGTGCAATAATCTTGGACGCGACGTTAAACCCAATTTCACCTCACCTAATTTTGTCTGTAGTTCAAGTAAGTTATTCTGTGGCCATAGTTTCTTTGTCTGTTTGATTCCTCAGAATATTACAAGATAAGACAAGATAAGAATAAACATGTACAGTAAACTGCGGTTATAACGAACTCAACGGGATCACTGATTTTCGTTCGATATAACCGTAGTTCGTTATAAGCATATATACAGAATTTATACCGCTAATGGCCGGGACCAAAAGTATGTTCGTTGTATCCGTCAGTTCGTTATAAGCGTGTTCGTTATAAACGTAGTTTACTGTAGTTTATTATTAAATCACACAGACCGTAGCCCTTTACGTACAGTAATACATGTATATGTTAAAAATCGAATATAGACGCGAGTTATCCGGTCAAAATGGCCTATGAGACACATAAAGCAGGGAAAGACTTAGATAAAAAATGAAATCGAAAAGAACATACAATAAAAGTACTGGACGTGATATAGAGGGATACAAATGCAGGTGTAGGTTGCTCCGTGAACTAATGGCCCAGTGAAGATTCCGGGGCAGAATAGGTCTCCAGCAACCCATGCTTGCCGTAAAAGGTGACTATGCTTGTCGTAAAAGGCGACTAACGGGATCGTGTGGTCAGGCTCGCTGACTTGGTTGATGCCTGTAATCGATCCCAATAGCGTGGATCGATGCTCATGATATTAATCACTGGATTGTCTGGTCCAGACTCGATTATTTACAGACCGCCGTCATATAGCTGGAATATTGCTGAGTGTGGCGTTAAACAACAAACCAAACGAACACCGTGAACTAATGGATGTATGAATATTTGACAGGAGTAGGTAAGTAAGGATAAGAGATATGGATGATCAGTTAGGAGCGACGTTTTGGTGTAGGTTCTAACACCGTTATCAAGCAAGTGATGTGAAGAGTGTGGTTGACAAACTTGATAACGGTTTTAGAACATTCACCGAAACGTCGCTTCTAATTGTAAAATAGAAGTTGTTCATCCATATATCTTATCCTTACTTGGTACTCCAACTTCTAAATGCCTCTCAAAGACGTTATAGGAGTAGGTGGTTATAAATTAGAATACCGATATCACGATACTGGGACATAAATCCCAAACGGGGACGTATTCAGGAGCTGGAACTAACGAATCACACATAACATGTAGCGTCCTTACCCTGGACCCTGGACCACCCACCACCCACCCACACCCACCACCTGATCCGCCTATGTATATAGCACCGATCATTGTATTTCTGGGGGTGGGATGGGCGTGGTGCAAAAATAAAAAATGTATCGCGAAAATTAGCAGCAACCAAACTTTCCACTCACACCCCGCCCAGGTCGATAACTGCATTTTAATTAAAATAACCCGTGTGTCATTAGCTGAGAATTTTAAATTTATGTTATAGCTGTATTTCTTACGCAAACTTTCTGTAAAGAAATTTAATCAAGTTATTTTAAATTAACCTATTCATCCTTCGTAATGTGAGGTGTCGTGACGTGAATATATAATGTAAAACGGAATAAATTAATAAATAAAAACATGAATTAATATATTGATAGATCTTCCAACTTTAAAGTCCAACTTCAAGATAAATATTCCGGCCAGTTTGATTCACGTTAGGAACAACTACTGATTCAAACCATACACTGTCACCCTACACTCGTCACGCGTCGGGGGCAATATTTGGGGGATGTTACGGGAGAAGAAAAATCAAAAGATAAATGTCTTTGATAAAACAAATATGTAAGCGATGATACGCAATTAATGATACTCTTTGCGACGGTGTCATTGGAAAGGAATATCGCGGACTTTTTACTAAGGTAGGTTCTATATGAGTTATATTACTTAGATACAAGATATTTATTTGCAGAAGATTGTACTGATCAAGAATCATGTCGTATGTGCCCTTTTAAACTACGAATATTATAATTAATAATTGAATTATATCAATTACTCATTCGGTTTTAAAGCGTGTCTTATATTCGGAGAGTTTTCTGTCCCTCTCGACTTGCCTGACAAGGGGTTGTCGTTGATCTCAGTACACGTCTATAAAGAGTGCATGTCTCAAAGATAGGCAAGTAACATTCAACACAACTAGTAACATTTAACACAAGTAACATTCAACACCAGCAACATTTAACACAGGTAGCATTCAACGCTAGTAATATTCAACACCAGTAACATTCAACACCAGTAACATTCAACACCAGTTACATTCAACACTAGCAACATTCAATACCAGTAATATTCAACACGAGTAACATTTAACACAGGTTACATTTAACGCAAGTAACATTAACACGACAAACGGGACCAGGTTCTATTCTCTTCTATTCACCTATCTATGGAGAACACTGCTCGAGAGATATAGCAGTTTGTCCATATACGCCTAGTCCTGCATCATGCCCGTGGAATATATTTATTTTATAAAAAACAATAATCTAGAAATGCATACAAAAGCAAGTCTAGCCAGCTCAAGCTAGCTCTATTCCACATAGGGAATTTTTTATATATTTTTAGAGTCAAGGATATTGTGTAATATAAGATTTCAGAGACTAAATGTTAGTCTAATATACGCCGCATGCACTCCACAATCACCCTCGCTGGGACACGTTCACAGAAACGAAGCGTGCATGGCCGACAACAATTCAGATGTCCAACTGGTCGCTCTCTTCAAATACGAAATTGAGAGTGTGGTTTCGCCTGCTATTGTCACAGGTGCGTCTTTGATGATTACAAAGTATCAATTTAATGACACCATTCTAACACTGAGGCTAAGCCTGCTTATATATTAATCCTCGGTGATCTAATGTAGTTTATTTTCACTTTAAAAAAAATGCAATGATATACACAGGGTAAACGAGGATTCGATCAAATATCTGTTTTTCTCTAAACTATACCTGTACCTGAAAGTGTAGTAAAATAGAATTATAATTTTTATTATCAGGAAATTCCGAGTATTTCACATGCAACGCGAGGTTTGTGGTCGCTTCCGTGTAGGTATTTACAGGAATTGTTATCAACAGGTGGAGAGATTCTTGGTAGCGGGTTTCATGTCGCTAGTGACTGACACGTGTTTATTTCAGTACTAGCAAACCGAAGACACCCTCCACGCCGCCCTAGCGATAGTTGCCAAAATAATACACCCCATACACATGAACAAAGAGTCGTGCAAAAGGTAGCCAGTATTCACTTACTCACAGCTGGATACGATGGCTAGTAAATATTGCTAGATACAGTACGCAGGCTATTTCGATTGCCACGCCTGGTAAAAACCAGACGAAAATAGTAACTTAGGCAATATGACCCAAATGCATACGTCGACCAACAGCCTCAGTTTGGCGCCAAGTGTAAGAGATCAGCGCCAACCAATAGTTGAACTTATTTCACGCGAGTACCAGCCTTTACTGTTAGGATGCATGGGCTCATTTGCATGTCACGTGACAACTCCGATTGGATGATTGGATCAGTCACGTGCCCGCGTGCCCCAATGCTGTTTTTACTATGAATACTCGTAATAGCTTGCCCCCGCTGTCAAAGCCCGACACAACACAGGTGAAGTCGTTCCCTCCTGCGGCCGAGTTTTCCGTCTGTGTACATTTCAGCGCGTGAGCACGAGCTTCAGCTGGTTTGGAGTCCTTCTCAGTGATACATTTCATTCTCACGGACGGTTGTACATTTCTCTACGGTGAGTGGTTGTCAGCTACTGTAGCAGTTACATGTGGTGTATATTTCTGTCTGTCAATGTGTGTCACGTCAGTTCGCTTGTCCTTTGAGTGAGGGAAGGGAGGCAACCCTTGTCAGTGAATCAGCTGATTTCTGTCAGATACGGTTGGTGAAGTTTTAGGCAACTCATTTGAAAGATTTACCAACGCGATGTTTAAGCGTTTAGTCGTTCAGATATTTATATGACATACACTCAATATAATTTCATAGTCAGATTCAAGGAAACGCCATTTCGTGGACCTTGATTTATGATTTACATATTTTGTTTAATAGAATGGAAAGAAGCGTGTTGTTTTTTTCCGCTTTCTTCGCAACGCAAATCAATTCCAATTTTTTTCTAAACCACGGTACGTTCACACCTTGTTGATCGTGATTCGTATGGCCTACGTCACACTGTTTAACCATCTTGTTAAACTTGTTTTTGGTGTCTGCTGTCTCTATCAAGGATCACTAGTCCCGGGGCATTAACACTGACTGTGTGTTTGTCCACGCAATATCTGTGTCATGTGGGCGCCTGGTCTCCGCGATTGATGGATATGGACGAATAGAAACAAAGGGTCGTTCGTATCGAACAAGCGTATCAGCATTTGGCCGATCAAACTCTGAGCTCACACAATCACGACACTGATAGTTTTGTATATCAAAACAGCACGGGATTTCGTGTTAGAAGGACCACTGTGTAAACACCTTGTCAATCATGTGTCAGCCATGGTGACAGGTGCTTGTTGGTTTCACTGAGTTCGGAACCGACTGACAGGCACATTTTTTTATATCAGTCTCACCCCAATTCATTACAACACCGTTACATAATACAATACATGTATGGGTCATTCCGTATTCACATATTTAGCAATTTAAATAAAAACAGAAGCTAACTCGCAGCTTTATAAAACACTTTTCCTTTTTTGTAAACGGATTGCAGGTTTTGGCGCAAAGAGGACACATAATATTATGTGACAAAATAAAGGCTATTTTCTGTACGTCACAACTGTTGATATAATTGGAGGTTAACTCGTGGCATTTGCTTAAGAGACTATGTCGCTCAACAATATACACAGGACAATTTAAGAAATGACATGGCATTTATTTTTAACAACGTTAAGACACTGAACACGCTTCCTGTCTTCTAAAGGCATGTTACTACACCGTCCTAACACAATGTGGACGTTAGCGGTGCCGCATCTGAATTCAGCCAAAGCGCTTCTATGGGCTCGGAGCATAGGGCGGGTGACATACTCATCAGCAGTATAGTTCTGCTTAAGACAACAGTATACTCTTAAGGTTTTTTTTATCTTCTCTGCGCGATGGACCAACGGGGTGTGAAATTGCATTTTTCCATTCAGTTTTATGTGAATGAAAAACATAACGTTTTACCTCTGTAACAATAACACTTGATATAAAACAATTGTTGGGGGGGGGGAATAAAATGTGCAAAACCCAGATCTACTAATTTACAACGGGTGTGGAAGTTGAGATTGTTCTGTTCGGGGATGGACATCTGGATGCAAGGGATGCACGAAGGGTTGGCATCACAACGAAAGGGGATAGGAATACACAAGCTTTTATAATATTTTTAACAATGTATTCAGAATCACTTATTGACGAATTGAACCGGAATTATTATTATTATTATTATTATTATTATTGTTGTTGTTGTTGTTGTTGTTGTTGTTGTTGTTGTTGTTGCTGCTGCTGCTGTTGTTATTATTATTGTTGTCGTTTTGTTGTTATTGTTGTTTGTTGTTTTTATTATAATTGCATGTACACTTTTCATTGTATACCGCATCACATTTGTATGGTGATGACGCTGATTATTATCATTATTATTTTATTTTTAATATTATAATAATAATAATAATAATGATTATGATGATGATGATTATTATTAGTATATGCTCGAATGGAGCTCTGTGTTGTTGCGTGTATACTCATATGGAAAAGGCGACAATTAAATATGTTGATGTGTTCATAAACAATTTTCTTTAATTGTTCTAACAATGACATTATCTGTATACATTTTTTAGTTATTTTTTTTTCATTACACACATTTCTTAGTTTGCGCATATATCAGCTTAACTTTTTGTCGTGGAGATAAAGGTTTTTCAGTAGTAAAATCTCTTTTCCTTATGAATTCGAATTCAGTAGTTAATATTACTGTTTGTCTTTAATTTCCAGAACACAAAACGAAACATGCTTGCCGATCGCGACGACGAGGCTCGATTGCAATTGGCAACTCAGGTTTCCATGGAGACCAACCAGATGACTCCATTAATCAAGGAGGAGTTACGCCTGTCAATCATAAAGAAACGGCACGCGAGTGGTCAAGAAGACATAAAGGTTGAATTCAAGGACGCCGAGAAGCATGAGGTAAGCGTCAGATATATATCCTTTGTCACTACCCAATCACTGTTTATAGATATACGTGTAATTTTAATATATTTCTGTCATGGACCACGCCCTACACAATTAAATGCGTCTTATTTTCAAATGGACTTATTTTCTTTTCTGTTAATTCGTATCCCTGTTATTTATTTATTTATTTATTTATTTAAATCAGATCATTAAATACAGTTTTTCATAATAACTTACTTTTTCAGATAACATTTCTTTCATGGTTCAGATCTGAAACAATTGTTTTTCATAAATATGAGGCGTCTCTTGGAGATATTCTTTACTGCATGTTTTTGTTCCATGAAACCCATGCAGGACTTATAACTTTTCTTTTGCCCCGGATTTGCGAATTAGTCCACGAAAAAGGATAGATGTCTCGGAAAAACAAACTGCTAACACTTTTGTTTATTTAGCAAATATATAACCGATAAAAATATATCGATGGACGTTTATTTAAATAATTGTTTCTTGTTTAGAATCGATGTAAAATTTTGAATTGTTTACATTGGAACACAAATAATTCGATGTCATCAAACACTTTTTTTCAATTTGAGATAAACAAGGAAATTAATAACTGCGGACTTGGAACCCATATTCAAAATTATATAATTTCATATTTCAAACAGTTTGTTTAATAAAATATAATATTTATATCGCGATTATTATCCAAATTATTCATATTTAGTTGTTTTTTAAATTCCGTATGTTCTGTTGTAATTGGTTGTCAAATTAATTCGTTTGTTGTCCCCAGCTCACGGCTTATGAGAAACAGAAACGCGAGAGGCGGAGGGAGCAAAACAGAAGAGCCGCACGGAGATGTCGGGAGAAGAAGAAGCTACAGCAGTGCGGGGACACACAGGTGGGTTTGTTGAAGTTTTGCTTTTCTAAATTTCATTTGCTGATAACACAACTCTGCATGTTTTAATAATTAATTTCGTTAAACTTTATTGACATATTTTCGCATCGGAAAAATATTGAGTATGGTTTTACCCCGCTTTATATTCCGAAATTATCACGGCGGGGTCACCAGAAATGGGTTTCACACAGTGTACCCATGAGGGGAATCGAACTCAGGCCTTCGGCGAGAACGAGCAAACGCTTTAACCACTAGGCTACCCCGCCGCCCCGGAAAATACTGTATAAACAAGTTTCGAATAATTTTCAAAGAATAAAATTCTTTTTACATTTATGATTGACTGTTAATTTCATTTTATGTATTTTTGTAATGAGTTGTTTTTTAGTTAATTGTTATTTTATTGTTATTGATCATTTGTGTTGCAGTATTTCACGAACATCATCGACCATAACAGTGAACTGCAGACACAGGTCAAAGCGCTCCGCAGGGAGAAGATAATCCTCCAGGATCTTCTCAATGATCACATCTCCTCCGGATGCTGTCGCCAGGTTAAACTTGAAAACGAGGCTATGCCTGGTGACCCCGTGACCCCTGACATCAGAGCCGCCCTTACCCCGCGCCCGCTTGAAGTTCCCGGAAACATTGAGACCATACCCGGCGTAAACGTAGGACCGCCCGACAACACTCTACCGTCGTTTTCCCAAACCTTCCTTGAAAACGGTTCTCCTATATTGGTGAACCAAGACACCTTCCAGTTCCTTTCCGCCATTCAAGACATGCGCACTGGCAGTTCACCCGCCAGAACCTGGTCTGGGACATCTGATGACGTCACCCCTTCGGAAACTCTACCGGAAGCCATCTTCGACGCCTTGGATCCTTTGGCCAATGACGATGTATTTTACGACAACGACCAGTTTACGACAAAGAAGACGAACGATGAAGCCATTGCTGATCTGATGGACAGATGCCAGGATCTCGTCGATGGAGAATTCTTCCTACAAGCAGATACATTTCAGGATCTGAATGCGTTTGATCCAAACGAGCCGTGAGAGACCTCGCCATCACAACGACCACTACCACACAGTGAACGCCCACACAACAAGACGTCGGAACTCTCCTTGTCAAGGCCTACTCCCCAAACACACACACTTCAGGGGAACTGACTTCTTCAAGTCTTCAACCGCCACTCTCAGTATCCTGTTGATAACTTCCATTTGAGATAAATATTTCATTATTTATCATAACATTATACCAAATGGATTCATATGTTTTTCCAAAAGACAAATGGTGTTATCAGCAATTGAGTTATTGTGAGTTAAAACAGGTGGTTAACTACTGTTTGATACAGGAAGTAACGTATAATTGTTTCAACAATTCAGTTTCAAACCATCAAAAAATTGACAATTGGCGTGATGAAATTTACAACTGTTTTACGCAACTCAACACTTTAACGCGAGTCGCGCTTTTGTAAATATGTTTCACTTAAAAACGCTCAACTTCAACAACCCATTCCATTCAGTTATTTCCTTCATCTGAATTAACCAACATACATCCGATCTGATCGTTATTGTCTGTTTGAGAAACTGTGCCAACCTCTAAATGCAGGTAGAATCAAAGTATTTCTTGGTTTCATTTGTGCACGTTAAATACATCATTGTACCAAGGTAACCAGTATTCGCATCACCATCGGCCAAAAGAGTTCACAAAATTATACCTAACTGAAATTAAACCATTCATATCAGATCAAAGGTCACCGTTGCATATTTCCAGTACAATGTAATAATTTTACATATGTCCAACCGCTTTATATCGGGGTGGAGTGGGAAGTGGCTGGTTTTTTTTAAACAAATAATTTGTTCCAGAAAAAAATGGAAAGAAAGTTATTTGTCCAAAGGCTTTTTACCCAGAACAATAACTGTTCCCGGGACATATTGTAAAATGAAAATTGCCTGCTTCGAAGCAGAAACTGAAACAAAAATCACAGGTAACCCCACCCACTCCGCTCCACTCCACTCCACTGTTCCCGGGACATATTGTAAAAAGAAAATTGCCTGCTTCGAAGCAGAAACTGAAACAAAAATCACAGGTAACCCCACCCACTCCACTCCACTCCGCTCCACTCCACTCCACTCCACTCCACTCCACTCCACTCCACTCCACTCCACTCCACCCCACCCCACCCCACCCCACCCCGCCCCGCTCCACTCCACTCCACTCCACTCCACTTCGCTCCACTCCACTCTGCTCCACCCCACCCACTCCACTCTGCTCCACCCCACCCACTCCACTTCGCTCCACTCCACTCCGCTCCACTCCACTCCACTCCACTCCACTCCACTCTACTTCGCTCCACCCCACCCACTCCACTTCGCTCCACTCCACTCCGTCTACTCTGCTCCACCCCACCCACCCACTCCAGTCCAGTCCACTCCACCTCCACTCCACTCTGCTCCACTCCTCTCCACTCCACTCCACTCCACTCCACTCCACTCCTCTCCGCTCCGCTCCGCTCCACTCCACTCCACTCCGCTCCGCTCCACTCCGCTCCACTCCACTCCACTCCACTCCAGCCCTTCAGTGCTTATCATCGTGTCATATGATATATACGCCATGCATATGTGTGTACATAGTCTTTGTAATCAGTGTTATGTAAGATGTCGATATGTTATAAACTACATATGAAGATACCCTAAATGTGTTCAACCATTCAAGTTCATTTCACTTTTCTAAACATCCCCTTTTGTGATTAAATCCTATTTTGGACATATTATTCCACGTATTAAGATCTCAAAAAAGAAATGTGTTCATTTCAACATATATCCACAGTGCTGCTAGTCGTCAATGTCATGTTCATTTCATGTCGATTTCAAAACAAGATCAAACTTCTTCACGTTTGTAAAGTATATGTAATATGTATGGCGAACGACAACGAATCAAATATTTATGCCATACGTGATTGATGCTGCACCAATTCATGCGACCCTTGGTCTTGAGGGTAACGTTGCGCTAGTCCCGTTAGCAACATGGAATACGTGGATTTTGTTTTATGGAAAATCTTTATGCAATGTATATTGATCTAATATATTGATGCGATTCCTATGCAATTGTTGTACATGCCGATGTACTTGCAATAAACTGATGTTTTGATTGACGACGAAATGTATGTCAACTGACCGAATATTTATTGTCGATTGTTTTGTAATTTGTCACAATGATTTTGCTTCCTGTATATGTTGATAGTGTTCATGCCAAGTGCTCTGTCGCTGTATATTTCATTAGTGTAAGCTTTACAAATCTGTCTTTATTTGTTTTACAAATCAATATCTCATTTCAATATTTTGTTTTGAAAATTTATGAAATGGTAAATATTTTCTTACCACTATTAAAAATAAATTTTGAAATATGAAGATGAGCAGTTTGTTGTATCATTTGTGTGAGACTTCCCCGGTCGCCCGGAAGTACTTAGGAACCCGATGGCCCGATGGCCCGATGGCCCGATGGTAGAGTGTCCACGATCCCGCGCAGTGCGTTAAGCTGCTGCCACGGTAATCAGCTGTGGCATCCCAAGGTCATAGATGCCAAACCTATCGAAAATTATTCCCTTACTTCAAAATCGTTACCTGGCTTCAAAATCAGGATTTCACTTCAATATCACCGCTCGGCTTCAAAATTGTGACCTTGACTCAAGATCGCTAATTGCTTCAAAATCGTGACTGGCTTCATTTTCGTTATCCCTGACTTCAAAATCGTCACCTTGCTTCAAAATTGTGATTTCACTTCAGTCCCCGATTGACGAGTAGCGTTGGTCCAGTCTCTGCTTGACGAGTACGGCTCTCTGATTGACGAGTACGGTTGGTCCAGTCTCTGATTGACGAGTACGGCTCTCTGATTGACGAGTACGGCTCTCTGATTGACGAGTACGGTTGGTCTAGTCTCTGATTGACGGGTACGGCTGTCTGATTGACGAGTACGGCTCTCTGAGTGACGAGTACGGTTGGTCCAGTTTCTGATTGACGAGTACGGCTCTCTGATTGACGAGTACGGCTCTCTGATTGACGAGTACGGTTGGTCCAGTCTCTGATTGATCGGTACGGCTCTCTGATTGACGAGTACGGCACTCCGATTGACGACTACGGTTGGTCCGGTCTCTGATTGACGAGTACGGCTCTCTGATTGACCAGTACGGTTGGTCCAGTCTCTGAGTGACGAGTACGGCTCTCTGATTGACGAGTACGGCTCTCTGAATGACGAGTACGGCTCTCTGAGGGACGAGTACGGCTCTCTGGTTGACCCTGTCCCTGTCCAGACACAGATATCATGTACCCACTGCGTCAAAAATTTCCTTTCCCCATGTAACGATTGTGCCCCGTGATATCAAATACATCAAGGCTCGCTGATAACAGTATCAATATCTGGGGTGTGGCTACTGAATTAGACGGTGATATATATTTGACACGAGGATGATACCCTCTGTATCTCAGCGGGACAACACCAATGTTGTTTCAGGTTTGCTCAGAAAAGTCCAGATAGACGAGTTGTCCGGATTAAGCAGGTTGGCCGTGTTGGCCTCTTGCATGTAAGTTTTAATGTCGTGTGCCGTGTGTTTACACGTTCAGTCTTAACCAGGCCCTCCCTCGTCTATTAATCAACCCGCGCCTAAATATTCATGTTATTGTCAGTTGACGCGAATGATATGGGTATGAAATAGATTATATTTCGTGTACAAAGCGCCTGACCTACATGTACTTATAGACCGGGCTAGTATGTTAGTACTGTACTGTGTTCATTACCACGGCCTATCCCGGCTGCACTTTACACAGCTGGGTCTCTATGACACGTGTAGTCTCTGTCAGTGAGAGCTTGAATTACAGTTGTCGTAAAAGTTGGTGATTTAAACAAACCCAATCTCTTTTCATCATATTAATTCTCGCCGATTCGCTATTCTAACAACAGTCGGCACCTATCGGGCCTTTCCGTGATCTTTATTCAGTCATATTGTTTCACTTGGCATTGCGACTGTTTATCGATCAGCTGGGTATTTCAAACAACAGAATTTCACACTTTCTCAATTTGCACGAGGGAACCTAGATTAACATAATGTCCATGAAATACTTTATTACACAATATATTTCTCTCTAAAATTAAAACAAATTATTTTCCTGAAATACTTTTATATATCTAGATTGGTTTCGTTTTCATAAAATACATATATTTCCAAAGTTGCAGCACTACAGGAAACCAGTTAATGTGTATTCTGGTTCAGATAATTGATTCAGTATTTCAGTCCATAAGATTAAGTAAATCCTTGTGCCAAATCTGCTCTTATTATCCCGGGGGGCACGGGTGGCCCAGTCGTCTAAGGCGCCGCGATTCGCTGTGCAGAGTTGCGTCCCTTGGGCACGCCAGAAACCTATGATTGTGGATTCGAATCCCGGTTCGCCCCAATTATGTTTCTAGGTTTGTCAGCACCATACCCGTGCTCGTGGGTTTCACCGAAGTGGTAAACGTCTGAGACCTGCATCACTTTGGGCTTTCCTCCCACATTAAGCTGACACGCCGCGATATTTAGGGTGGGGTGGGCTGGGATTTTGTATCGAGATCAGATATTTTATCAGCTTCAGTTTCAAAACCAGATATTTGATTTTATTTATAACTATGAGCCTGAATGTTTTTTAAAGAACACACCTTGCAGCAATGTCATTTTTGTATGGCGGGCAATGTGTTCTTTTCAAAGTTCATAAGCAAAATTATTTTTCAGGGACAATTTATTTGATGTAACTTGCTGATAAAGTTTTTGGCGGTACGTGTCATTAAGTCTTTGTGTACTTAAATAAAAAATAACTGATCATCACCAAACACGACAGGGTATCCACACATAAAAATATAGGGTGGGTATCTTTTGTGCATCCGTCCTCAACCTCTTCATCCAATGTGTGATAACTCGTATATCACTAGAAATATCAAGTACAACGACCAAGTACGGCTTTATTTACCAACATCTAAATATCGTACAATGTGTGAACTTGTTCACTGGATTCATGATACTTGTGTCCCACATTTCGGATCCCCAAAACGTATTCAACCAATGAGTGAGAGGCTCCCGAGTCCCGTCTATTTCCACCTCCAGACCAGGTGCCAGTTGTCACCATCAGTCGTGAGCATTGTCGAGTATTGAGAACAGTCTACCGATGAGTGAGTGAGTTGGGTTTAACTCCGCTTTTAACAGTATTCCAGTTGATTGTGATTGATAACTGACCACCAAGGTATAATTTGTTTAATTATTATGTAAACACCTTGACTTTATTCTGTTACTTGATTATATATAGGGAGAGGTATTAAAATAAGGGCGTTCGGGTAGCCTAGTGGTTAAAGCGTTCCCTCGTCACGCCGAAGACCCGGGTTCAATTCCCCACATGGGTACAATGTGTGAAACCCCGCCATAATATTGCTGGAATATTGCTAAAAGCGGCGTAAAGCCATACTCACTCGCTCATTATCAAAATAAGCCTTGTCTTGTTTACCGATCCCAATTTACAATCGAAATAAATATATGTTTAAACTATTTTAACTCCACATGCATTAGATAAACGTGAACGTCACTAACTGGACTGAACATTGATATGAATATGTATAATTTAACATTTTAAACATTTTAACTTAACATGCATGAATACGGTAATGAAATTGATGAGCGGTACTACTTTGTTCTCGTCTAATTTGCCTGGTACCGGGAGCGCCAAATCCCGTGTCAATGAACCGTGACTGTGCACTTATGGTCCCGGGAACGCAAAGAGGAGTTTTCCTCCGTAATATCAAATCTGGCGCTCCCGGGCCGACACCATCAAGCTAGGCTTGAT